CTGTGAATTCATGGGGTCGGTCCCCCAGGTGCCCCAGGGATGGAACTGCTGTTTCTTTTGTCTCTTGTAAAGATGGAAAGGGGGAAAAAAAAAAATAGCCCACTGGCTTTTGTCCTAAATTCAGACCAGCTGCTTACTAGTATTGTCCCTCTGCCTCGGTTTTTACCCCTACAAAGCACACTCCTGGGCCCCCAGCTTCCAATTCTCATATGTCAGTGACATGAATATCTCTGTTTCCTCTGGAACAGACCACAAATTCTGCTGTCTTTCATCTGAGAAGTGAAACCCCGAAAAGCTGAGCTTACTAGAGGGAGTTTATAGCCAGAGTCTTCTCTGGTCCTGTGGCAGGACGGCAGAGCTGCTGCGCTCCGGCGGGTGGCTGGCTCCCAGACCTGCTCACACATCAAGGGGCTTTGAAAGCTTAAAGTGCTTAACTGGAAGGCACACAAAGATCTCCAAGCTTATTTTGCATGCAATTAAGCTGTTGCTTTGCTCTCCCTCCTCCTGGCAGACAAGTGCTACACCAGGGAAGGTACGAGAGACTCCAGCCATTGACAGGTTGGGCGCAGCCCCCCCTCTTCCCTATTCTCTTTTTTTGTTGTTACTGAAACCATCCATCTGCCAAATGTCACTAGCTGATAAGAACTGCCCGTTTTTAAATCCCCATTTGTAAATAGATGTTGGCTGACATAATTAATGTTTAACATACAACACAATTTGAATTACAAAGTGAAGGCAATTTAAAAATCAGCCTCCACATGATTACAATTGATACTCAGTCTATAAATTCCACAGCCCCAGGAATTATTTAGATTTCTGAAAATGAATGAAAATCAGTACAAGATGTCTTTCAGGAAAGTGAGACCAGAAGTGGAGCATCTGAGATAAACTAAATAGTCTCTTGAGATAAACATTCTTTGGTGCAGTAATACCTATGGCTCCAGGCCACCATGGGTCTGTAATGTCTGCTATAGTGTCAGGGCTGTTATCTGCTATGCCACTGCCACCTACTCAGAATAAATCCCCTTAACTGATAAGCACATTATGTTGAGGACCCCTGCTTGTCACTTCCATCTAACTGGGTGGTTTATACGGACACCGTGGCACTGAATTGCTCTGCTCTAAGACACAGATATCGCTCGCCGGCTGGGATGAAGCCTCCAGTGCATGAGCACAGGGCGGTCGGCAGAAGAAGCACAAAATGGATAATGCAAAATACGGGCTATGGCACTTGGAAATGTTTACCCCAGATTCAGTTTTCCTGCTAACTAGAAGTAAAAAGTTTAAAAGGACAACAAACATTTCTAACAAGCAAGCTGTGGCATTAGTCTAGGGAGAAAGACCAGCAACACAAGAGTAATTGAAAGCCTGTATATGTTGTGCCTCTTGCACGTCAAAATAAATAGCTCTGCTGTGTCCTAAAGATGTCTGTACACAGGTTCAACAGCAGCGGGGCACAGCCAAGAGCTCTCCCGCATGTGCAGCCTGCACAAGAGGAGGAACCAGCAGAGAACAGGGCACGCGGCCCAGCTTTGCCTCTTTTTCCTGTCTTTATGCTATCAGTTAAGGCTTTAAGTGAATTTCACTATTTTCCTGCTAGTCTTTCCTTTGTAAAATCAGGAGAAATAATTTGAGGACGTCTAGATTTACTAGAAAAACAAATCTCTTTGGAACTAAATAGTCCCATGAAGGAGCAATGAAATCTGCTTTTAAGGAAGCAAACGTGTTGCTGCAAATGACAGGCTGGCAGTTAAGTTCTGCATAAATACACCAGATATGTGGCAGTGATATCCACGTGATAAATTACATTTATCACGCACCTTTGACCATCTCACCTGCACTCGGCTCCCCCAGCAAGGAAATGTTAACATTCCCCATCTTTCATCAGTTTCAAACAGCTGCCATTAAAAAAACACAAAACCCCCCAAACCCACAACAAAGAATTCCACATCTTCCCAGAGATAACCTTATCTTTCGCTTTTGAAATGTGAGGTTTTCCCTAAATTATGTTGGCACAAAATCCAGGGTTGGGGGCAGGATGTTCCATTAGGCTTAAGAGCATATAATTAAAGTTACCTATCAGGGGCAGAAATGGAAGCAAGCATCACTGGAAATCACCGTAAGATCTGCAAAAGATGCATAGTATAAGAAATGCTAGGAAGTGTTTGCACCACTGGAAACATAAGGGTCCCAGATTTTTATCTGCAACTATGTGATATTTGTTTCTTGTGCAAGAAACTGCCAAGGTATTAATCTTTGAAATATGAATGATATAAAGAAAATGAGGACAAATTAACACAGGGCTGCTCCAATCTGAGACACTTTGTTATTATTTCTGGAATTGTAAACTAGGAATCATCTCCAGCTCTCTCAACCAACCAAAAGCATCTCACAGCAGTATCTATGAACCACGCCAGGGACGTTACTGAGCTCCCGACATGACAGAAGAGTGCAGACATGGCTGTCCCAGGGTTCCACACAGTACCATGTTACACTTGGTTACCCCCCTCAAATGGTAATGAAAGGTCTAGACTTAAATCCTACAACCAGCAACATGCACAACAATGTGGCTGCTGTGAGAAGATTACAAGGAGAGAAAATCCACAGGAAAATGTAAACTCAAAAAACCACCAGTTAAGCGGTGAGAACCTTCCTTCTCATTAGTTTCCTAGCTCCCTTCCTTCACATTACTGTTTGTTACTGGGTGGAATAATCTTTTCTTTTTTAAACGAGGTGCAAATGCATTTTCACACCTCTACCTAAAACTAGGTTAAGTCTCCAAGCTAATTACACATCATTAATGAGTTCAACAACTGTGGGTAGGCTGGTCAGAGAAGGGATGCAGGTCTGCACGTCATGTATGTACGCACGCGGATGCATCCTTGTACTCCACGCTGGGCTGATGCTGCCAGGTGCTGAACTCTCGTCTTGTTTGCAATAGTAGAACGTTTAACACTGAAACTCATAGTCTACAATGCAATCCTTTTATTCTATTTCTCTCTTTTCTTTTTAAAGGTGTTTGTGAGGTTTTGTTCGTTGGTTTTTTTTTTTGTTTGGTTTTGTTTGTTTGTTTGTTTTTGCTTTTAATATTGAAATGCACTAAAACATTACATTCAGGTCACCCTTTTCAGGACTCTCCCCAGGTGTGCTTCATTACAAAGATCAGTATTGCTTCAATAACATTTATTTCTCTATTGAACAAGTTGCATGGCCTCACTGGCACAGACTGGGAGGGGACTGTAGAAAGTTTTAGCTACCCAGAACAAACAATACAACACTGGGTTACACACCAGTGCAGATCATTATGTTCTGGCAAAGTCTGCTCGGGTGGTTTAAAGTTACCATCTCCCACTGATGGCATCATTGCCAGAGATCATCCCCTCCACAGCAGAGCTGGCAGAGAGACACGTAACCACATCTCAGTTGCAAATTAGAGAGCAAGAACTGGGGACACCGATGGTGCTCTCTGCTGCCTGCCCTGCCTGCCTGCTGTACAGGGACAGCTTGGCTCTTGGAGAGTAGAGCAAGTTGTAACTTGACAAATTAAAGATAATGAATACCAGTGCCAGTTTATTTTAATGTGCTGGGCTTTAGCTGCAGCATTTTAGCTGCCATTTTAAAGCCAGGGGTGAAAATTTGAACTGTGACAGCCTCTATAAAAGCAAGGGCTTTTGGTGATGGAGCTCTTCACTCCAGCTCCTCCAGGCCGGACTTTGCAGGTGAAGCATGGGCACATGAGCATCACCTTTTAGCATCAACTCTGCAAAGAGATGCCAAAAACAAATGCAGAAATCCCTAAACGGTGTAAGATCCAAGATCTAGGCAACTGCAGCCAGAATGATACAGTCCTCATATAGAGGATGTCTATATAGATTTTGTGTTTTTAATTTGTTCTCTTCTAATGATGTCTGTTACACACTCCTTAACATGAGGCTATACATACACATACATATCATTTATAGGGCTAAACATAAAAAAACTTTCTGGAGTAAATGTTTGAATAGAAGCAGTACACACATTTAAAAAAAAAAAACCACAAAACCTTTCATCCTAGCTCTGGATTAGATCAGTATCAGAACATGCATACACGAAGCCAATTCAGACTGACTTTTATAGGAAGTGCGTAGTATTAATGAAGAATGGATTTTGCACAGATTCTGCTAATTTCTGGGTAAAAGCCTTGTTGTTGAAAGTATTATTCAAGCCACGTGGCATATATAAATATGCCACACGGTGGGATGAGTGTGCGCTAGAACAATTCTTAACAGACCTGTTAATTGAACTTCATTAGTTTCTTCAGAATATAACTATGTGGAGCCACTTTGATTCTTAAGTTTCTAGCTGGCAGGAAAAACAAGCCCTAATTGTGTCAGAGTTTAGCTGCTGAAGAGATCAGGGTTTTATGAGGGATGTTAAAATGGTTCACAGTTACTAAAATAGATATCTTTGTTTGCTTTTCAAGGAGGGTAGAAGGAACATTTAAAACTTAGAGTTTAGAAGAGGGCAATTAAGAAATACACTAATAAATTCATCTTCCTAGGATATTTTCTGGCTTGTGGAAAGATGGTAATAAACACATCTGGGAATCTTCCAGCTGAAAGCTCCTGACTTGTAAGTTGGATCTTACTGGGTATGGTTTTAATCCTGAAATTGCATAATATTTTCTTCCATGTGAACCCCAAAGATGCTATTTTCCTTCTAGTTTTTTTTTTTTTAAGATGGCCTAAACACATATTCAGTAGGACACAGTCTTTTATCAGCTGACGTTTGCCCCTGAAATGCTCCTGTAAAGACGGTGATACAATCGTGTCTCATGGTCCTTACGGTACCATGCTGTAACAGACTTTGGCACTGCAAACAGCAGAACGTATCTGCTTTTGAAGCAGATCAGGTCAACAAGCATAAAGCGCGAGGTTTACTGCCTCTTGAGTAGGTCTTTTTAGTTACCCTGAAGACAACGCCGACAACCGCTCACCCCGAGGCACGGCTTTTATACTCACCAGCATCGAGACTACCAGTAGCTGCAGTCCAGCCCATGACGGGAGGAATGGCGCCGACCACAGCTCCCACCCACGTGTTGGCAATGCTCATTCTCTTCATGGGGGTGTAGCAGCACGTGTACAAGAAAATGTTGAAGGCTCCCAGGGCCCCGGTGAGAGGGTTTACTCCCAGCGTCAGCAGGGCGATTCCTGGGACTCCGCAGGAGGCAGCAAAACAGACAGCGAGCAGGGGGCTGCGGGGAGAGAGCCGGAGAGACCTGCTGAGCAAGGGTCCGTCTTACTGCCCCACTCCTTCTGCCTCCTCCCAAAAATTAAGATTGGATTTTTGTTATTTTTTTACCCACCCAGCCCACATTTTCCCATTTGAACCCTCATCCTAAGAAAAGCCTTTCTAAAAAGTTAAGACAATCTCGCTACAGATTTGCAAGGATAGGTGATTCTTGTTCTTGTGATCACTGTGTTCACCAAATAAATTCCACCTCTGCAGGTAAATAGCCCTTATGGAGAACTGCTGCTTCCAGCAGATCTTTCTCTTTCATTTTAATCTTAGGAAATTCTGACCTCTGGAAAAAGCACTCAGGGTTTAGAGTAAATGAGAATGGTCGTAGCTTGTCACATTTTAATTGATTGCAATTATCCAAGGGATCCTTTGACTGAAATGCAACAGGGTTAGACACAAAATTAGGAAGCATTCAAAAGAAAAAGAGTACATTCAATCATTTTGAAATGACATCAACAGGATTAAAGTATTCTTTGGCTTTACTCAAAAAAAGGCTGAATTTTCTACATTCCCATTTAGCTTATAAACTGTGCTAAGCAGGGGTAGCACACCAAAGCAATTCTGGCAATAGAATCAAAATTAAAACGTCTTATCTTCTAAGTATGACTGGAATTAACTGAAGATATTTTGGGTTTGGCTGAAAGCAGCAAACAACAAAGATGCAAATTATTTCTCTTGATTTCTACTGCACATCAGCTAAGAGCTTGGGGAAGGCTGGAAATTCCTGTTAAAATCTGTAAGAAAGTGGCTGAAGCTATGTAAACTTCAGCGAATAAGTTCCACAATAAACATCTGAATACGATGAACAAGGAATTTTTTGTTTGGCTACCAAAGCCACACTTCACAGGCAGCACCACGATGCAACCCTAAGGAAGCTTTATTTGTGATACCTTGCACCAGATCAACGTGTTTGCTGCTGGTGGAGATCTCGTCGCGCGTGCTCGTTGTAGGGTGTTTGGTGTAATGAGAAGGGAGGACTAAATGCCACAAAGAAATAATGTGGTGTGGGAGACCTCTGGAAGGGAGGAAAATGCCATTAAATGAGTTGCATTTAATAACCCATGTGGCTAAATACACACTTCCAGTCATCCCTATAAGAGCAGAAAATATGTGTGCTTGCAACAAATGTCTCTGCATGAAGTTTAGCTTTACATGTTTTGTCTAATTGAAAACTATGCAGCCTTTGTGTTCTACCATCACTCTGCCCTCTGGCCAAATCCTTAACCCTAAAATAGGTGTTGCAAGCACTGCTCCAACCCTCATAAGAAAAATTTGCTGGTGGGGATGAATTTTATGGGAGTTTTATCAGCAAAAAAATCCTACCATTCAAATCTTGATTTTTAAGAACTTTGTTGGACCAATATTGTATGGAGATCCTAAATAACTGGAAGAAAAATCTTACCCTAAAGATCTGCCATAAATTTAAAATTAAATTGACTAAGTCATTTTATCCAGCTTTTCAAAACCATGAACAGATTTTAGGTTACAGAGCATGCACAGAGCACATTTACATGCCAGCATTACCAGTCTCGGTGTTACTAATATATCAGGAATAGAGGCAGGGTACACCATTGCCATCCATTGACAGAGAGATGTACAAAATTCGAGACTGTTTTCAGGAGCTTTACTGTGAAAGGAGCCATACGGCGCTGTGCCCTCTGGTTTTGCAGCTAGCAGTGCTCTTTTGCAGAAAGGCAGCAAAACACAAGCTGTACCGTAAACTGTCTCAACGCCGACTACAAATGCCGTACGTTGTAGATGCTGTCCCTCCGTAGTGAAAGCCTGACTGGGTTTGGTTAAACAAATCTATCTTGACTGATTCCTGAACAAAATACAGTCAGACAGTAAAGACCAGATTTACACAATACACGCTCTTGAGGCGACAAAAGACCAGTGTGACCTTACGAGGCCGGGCTACCCACGTTCGCTCCCGCGGGGCTCACAGACATAAACGAGGACACAGTTTGACCTAATGCAACGAGCACTTTTCTCACTAATCAAGAGTGAAGACTCATCTACATGTCTCCAATTCAAACGAACACTACACACCATGAGCTGGTCACAGAGCAGCAGAGACCAGCCCTTCATGCCTCTTACGGGAAGGGAAAACGAAGGCTGGGAGTGCAGGGCCCTCCTCTGTGGCTGCACCCAGCATTGCGTCTCTCCCACATTGCTTCCCTGCAGCAGCCACAGCCCTGACACCCGCTGCGTGCTGCCTTCACGTCCAACTGACGGATCGGAAAAGTACCTTTAAAAACTGAGGCTTTATCAAAAGGGAAGGGTGAAATTATGTGACCGAGACCTTCAAAAAAGTTGTTCTGTTCCTGGTGGAGGAAAATGCAGTTTTGTTTTTCAGCTTCTTCCTTTTGCCTTTTTAAAAGGAAGTTCCTGGAGGCAGTTTGCTTAGTGTCTGCAATAGTCCTAACGATCTCAGGGGAGGGCATCAAGTTCTTCATAAGCAGTTGAACTATATTACTTTTAGACACCTTGAAAGTATCGCATCTTCTACTTCTCTCCAGTGTTTCCTTAACAATCAAGGAACTGTAAAATTCTTCTAGAAGAGTAATTGTCCGACTTACAAGTGCCTGCCCCTAAAAGTCCAACTGAGATCAGAAACTCAAACTGTGATCTGATGATTCAGCTTTGTTATTTCTGCTCCTTAAAATACTATTTGGCATTACAAAGATACTGCAATCAGAAATTAGGACCTTGCTTTCTTGGTGAGACATGAGGTGGAGGAGAATTCAACTCATTCTCATGTAAATATGTCATGTTTATAAGGTCTATAAGTAAAGCAACTCCTCATTGGGAAAGAAAGAATATTTGAGGAAAATGTAGAGAGATTTCAGGCATTGGTGCAGTTTCTTCTGCCTTCAGTGATTCTCAGGATTTTAAAAAGAAAAGATTGACCCTAGGTTTAAATCATGGCAGTTTAAGGGGTATTCTGATTTCAACTAGCTTATGGTCTTCTAGGGACCCTTATGCATCTCCATGCTCATATTAGGTCTGTCAAAACTCAGACATGTGGTATGAGGCTCCTTGACTTGATGCATGCTTCTTCGCCAGGCTGCCTGTATCTTGTCAAGGAAGCACAGGAGACCAGGATCCCATTCTGAAGCAGGAAAAAGGCTGTGATGCCGAGCTGTCACTGGATTTGCCCCATCACCTAATGTCCACACGGTTCCTCTCACTACAGCCTCATGCCATCACAGGAGCATCAGTCTGGGGTAACCCAACGCTGAGGAATTCTCATTGTGGTGGTCAAAAGTGGTTGTGGGGTCTCTGCTGGTTTCCTTCATCCTTAAACCATCCCACGCAGTAAGGGCAGGCTGCTGACAGACGCTGGTACATAAGCCTCATTTCACTTGGGCGTTCACTTATGCTAAGGGAATTGCTCCCATGGGAAAAAAAGGCAATCTTCCATTGGAAAATTGGCCAAGTAGCTAGCTCAGAAAGCAAACATATTGAGTAAGAAACTAGGTTTTATGATGGATTCTTGGGAGGAGTTGGTTTCAGTTATTTGGCTGATTAAAATCAGACTTTGGGAAAATACTAGAAGTGCCAAATGAGTTCTCTTCAAATTTCAACTCTAAAATACCCAGTATGTCACCACACAGGACACCTCCCAAAAGAAAACCAAAAACTGGTAGTTCTGCCTTGTTCCTCTTCTCTCCTTTATGGGGAATGAGTAAGCCAAAGTCTGCCTAATAATAGTGCTAAAAGGCATTCATATTTAACTAAAAGCTTTTGAGAGAACTTCTGCTTGAACACTGAATAATCAAACATTTCCCATCCAAAGAAAATGCACTGACATTTCTCTCCCAAGACAGATCCTCCCCAGTCACACTCCACTGAGAGCATCCAAGAGGAAGAGGCGGAAAAGAGACCCAGGTTTCTCCTCACGCAACTCAAAGCTTTTGCTGACACAGAGGTGTCTGGAGAGATGCTGTCAGTCAGGTTGGGGAGGATTTCTCAAGGACAGCCCAGAGCTGCTGGCGGGGGGGAACGGGGAGCAGGCAGGAGGAATCCCATTTGGGTGATATTCAGGCATCCCCTGCACACGTGTCCCCGAGGCATCCATGTGGACCCTCACTCATTGTATTGTTGATGGAGACTTCGGACAACACAGCAGCCTATTTTATTGCATGTGCAATAGCACAACCTCTGAATCTAGCTGCCACTTTCCGATGACCTGGTTATACCTATATAATGATCTTGCACTCATGTGCATGAAAGGTACTTAGTTAATAGGCTCCAGAGCCATGGATAATAGTACTTACTGACTCACAGCATTACTTGGAAAAGTTGAGAGAGGAAAACAAATTAAAGCATTTGCCCATCTATAAAATTAATGTAGTATTTTACCTATTTCACAACAGCATTAGCAAGCTTAATGTCTATAAAAATCAATAGCATCACTACTACACATGCTTTTCTATGCTGTCTTTGGCAAAACATCTTGTGAAGACAACTGTCAAAGTACAGGCCAAACTATAATTTAAAAAGCAGTATCAAAAATGGGGAAAAAGGTAAAAGAAGATTTTCTTTGCAAAAAACAATCAAGACACTAGACAAAACTCCCTCTTAAAACCTATTATTTTTAGAAATACGGAAATTCCTGTATCAGCATCTAATGCTTCAACCTATCTCTGTGAATATACTGACACTCATACACAAATAGACACAAAGCCCGTATGAATCCTGAATCGGCACATTCATGCAATCAGCAGTTGTACGCAATTCATGTTCAGATGTTATGTAAATACATAAGAAACTTAATTTGTGACCTTGTGCGAATGGGAAATTGGGCAAGCAAAACATATTTACATAAAAGCATAAGCCTGAATGTAAGTGTCCATTTAAGACCGCCTGCATATTTTTCAGGTGAAGCATAAGTGCTTATATTTGAAAATTAGATTCCAAGCCTAACATAAAAGGTAATAAAACAAATTC